AACATGTGTTATTTTCAATATTACACCAACTTTACAATCTGTAAAGTTTCTTTAAACACTTTTAGAAATATTATTTCTTCGCGCGGATGGATAGTAAAAGTATCCAATTGGCCCATTTTTCTGCCGTTACTCTCCTCATAAAGATTCAACACCCAAACATCACCATTAAACAAATTTTAAAATTGAATTCGGAAAACACCAAAAATTAAATTAAATTCAAATTGTTCCAAATCCAAGTTTATTGATTGTTCTCTTTCACCAAACTTGACGCTGATTGGTGGAGACAGTGTGCGGAAGTGACGTCATATGGGCACGTCGCCAGTGGAAGATTTCCTTGCTTGGAATGAAAGCTATAAAAGCGATAAAGTTTTTTTTTCCCCTACCCCATCCCCTCCAGTTTTTCCGGCCTCACATTTTTTGACGTCAGAGAGAAATAGTAAAAATAAATAAATATATAGAGGAGGCTGCATTTATTTATGGAAGTAATAAAATAAATTAGAGATATGATTCCCCCCCTTGGCCCTAATAAATTCGAGGATGGGCCAATAAAATATTCGCCGATTTTGTGAGAGTTTTCTTTAATTTATTCCACTTGTACAACAGATGGGTACTGTACATCTCAGCTCAAACAGCAGCGTCACTTGCCCTCTGTACTGCCTAGCTACTGTGGCCAACTACTGTCCAAGACTTTCGTGATAAATATCATATGATGTAATAATTGGAATATATAACTAGTGCAGATGTGAACAAAAGTACAAATGTGAAATTTTATTGGGATAAGGTGCATACATTAAGAAAAAAAAAAGACATTTCCTTTCAGTTGCACGAAAAGAGATGCCTTTTTTCCCCTTAATGTACGAGGGGTGTCCCATAAGTCCGTGGCCCGACCATGAGAACGAAATATTAGAAACAAATAAATTTTACCATATATACCTTAAAGCCTTGTATAAAGATATGTAAATTTTTAAGTTTCTACAACTAACCGTTTTTTTTTTTTTTTTTTTTTTTTTTTGTTGTTGTTATAGGTTCTGAAAGAGGACATGAAACAGGAATCATCTAAAATAGAGACAAACGAGATTCGTACTGTAATAAAATATCTTTGTAAGAAAGGAATGTCGCCGAAGGAAATCTATAAGGATATGGTGGATACATTAAGGGAAAATGCTCCTTCCTATATCACAGTAAAAAAAATGGGTAGCCTCGTTTAAATTAGGGAGGATCAGCAACGAAGACGAACATCGACCAGGAAGACCTGTTGAGTCAGTTACTAAAAAAACCATCGACAAGATACATGATTTGGTTATGTTGCACAGAAGAATGACAGTTCTTCAGATAGAAGAGACCTTGGGTATTTCAAAAACAACAGTGGATTGAATCATGAGAAAACACTTGGGTCTCAGGAAGCTTTCTGTCTTTTGGGTTCCCAAACTTTTGACACCCGATCAAAAGGCTGTAAGGAGAAAGTTATCTTCGGACAATCTTACGTTATTTGAAGCCAATTCAGAGGAATTTGTTGATAGATTTGTTACCATGGATGAGACTTGGGCCCATCACTTTACACCAGAGTCCAAGCAACAATCCATGCAATTGAGACACTCCGGTTCCCCTCCCCCCAAGAAAGCCAAGACAGTTCCATCAGCAGGGAAGGTTATGGTGTCTGTCCTTTGCGATTCTGAGGGTGTACTTCTTCTAGACTTTCTGAATAAGGGTCAAACCATCACTGACAATTATTATGCAAATCTTGTGAAGCAACTACGGGAAGCTATTAAAGAAAAGAGAAGAGGAAGGTTGTCCAGGAAGATTGTTTACCATCTAGACAATGCTCCGAGTCATCGGTCGCTGCAAGCCATGGCTGCTATTTAGGATTCTGGCTTTGAACTTTTACCACATGACCTTATTCACCAGATCTAGCTCTGTCTGACTTCTACCTATTCCCAATTAGAAAAATTCACTTTCTGGCATTCATTTTAGGTCAGATTAAGAGGTCATTGATGCTGTAACCTCATTTTTTTAGTCACTTGAAACATCGTTCTTTTTGGAGGGTATAAAAGCATTAGAACATCGCTGGAAAAAGTGTATAGACCTTAAATGGGATTATGTTGAAAAATAAATCATAATCATTTTATTAATTATTTTCTTTATATGTCGGACCATCGACTTATGGGAAACCCTCGATATGTGTTGAATCAATATGAATTTTGTCTATCATATACATACAGTAGAACTTGGATAATTTGGAACGTCTTTCATCCAAATATTTATCTTGGTCTCTAGATTTTTATGCCTTTTATTCAAAACGTTTTTAATTTGAATTTTTGGATAATTCAAAATTTTTATTGGTCCCTAGGCTTTGAATTATCCAATTTTGACTGCATTTATTTTATTTAGCATACATTCAGAAATATGTTCAGTTTTGTTAATGTACGAAAGATTGAATCAATAAATAACAATAAATATTATATTTTAAAGAAACGAATTTCATCCAAAATATTCATATATGTTTTTCTATTCAATATAATATTTTCTTTTAGGAGAACAGATCTCTAAAGGTTCTGTGGAAGTTTGTAGGTTCCCCGAACATATCTTTAGAACTCAATTTGAGCCATGAGAGTATCGTTCAATAAAATACCCCAGCAGCCCCTGTCTTATTGTTATTTTGTATGTAGGGAAGGGATACTATGGTACATACACCAATCACCTGGGGCATTCGGCTTCAAACCTTCCTATTCTTGTTTATGAGGCTAAAATATTTTAACCTATTCCAACTCTTTTTCTTATCTAATGTAACATACCTCTCTTGGGATCCAATTAAAACGTATTTTTCTATTTTGAAAATAGAGCAATCCATCAATAAATCCTCAACTAAAAAGGTATATATTGGATCAAAATATCATTTATTTTACCAATATTTCAGTTAGCTGAACGCCAACCTTTATAAAGGTATTATAACATTTTAATGTGTGTCAACAACAAACTCATGTGGCGCTGATATATTGGTAAATTAAATGATATTTTGATCCAATATATGCCTTTTTAATTAAATATTCATTGATGGATTGCTCTATTTTCAAAATATACAAATATGTTTTGATATATGCCTTTTTATTTAAATATTTTTCTATTTTTCAGATCTTCATTAATCATTTTTATGTGCATTTTCATACTTAATGTCCATTTAATTTTTATTTTCTAATTAAAATACGTTTTTGACTAAACTAAACGAATGAATAACTTCTCTGTTACATATGTACTGGATTTATTCGGCGTTGTTGAGTAGATAGTTCTCATTCGCCGCCATCTTCGAAATTTTGTGTCTATTTATAGATATCAACTTCTGATAATCTCGGTTAAGATAAATCTTGAGAATTTCATTAATGAAATTCCCCAGGGTTCGAACTCTTCTGCATATCTATATATATATAAAAATGAATGTCTGTCTGTCTGTTTTTCTGTGTGTACTCTATAGATTCAAAAACCGTACATCCAATCGCCGTGAAATTTTGGGATATTATTAGGCATATCCCCGGAAAGGTTTACGAAAAATAATATCTTGAATATCTTTAATATCCTTAGAGTTATTTGCAGATTTGTAGCTTTAACTCGCAAGCAGCGCCACCATTGAGACGGAGATAGGCTTTGGTTTGCTGCTCCTGATGACCTTGGGTCATCGTGTGAGTCACAGCATGATGCTACAAAAACACTCTCTCTGGGGATTTTACAGCGTCGACAACCTGTAAGATTGCCTCTCTCATATATTATACTTTAAACATCTGCTTAATTAAAGCATTTTTCATTTGAAAGAGACTGCTCTCTTAACCCCCTTTAGACAACATTAAATGATATCCCGTGTCGTTTTTTTTTATGATTTGAGAGCCACCCCTCACTTGAAGCAAATCATTTAATCCCAAGAGACTGCGCGAAAGACTTGAACATGAAACCGCCGACGGAACGTTTTGTCCTCTACACTGACGAATCCACTTAAAAAGATTAAATAATTGTGGGGTTAAATAAAACGTTATTCCAATTATTTTCTTCAGCTAGAAATCAATAATATTTTTATTTATTCACGTAATTTAATTTGTTGAAATCTAAAAGGAAACACGGGAGACGGGGAGATATTTGGCCGAATGTGGAACTTGCCTTCTCATTGGTCGTGACGTCACGGTGGCTATTGCATCATCTGGTATTGCAGCAACTCTTTTGAACGGTGGTCGAACAGCACATTCAGCGTTGAAATTGCCATTAAATATGCAGGTAATTGAAACTCCAACATGTAATATTATGCCAAGTAGACAAGAAAGAAGCCTCGCGGGTGACCTCCGGGAACTACGTACATCTTCCATAAACGACACCATGATTTTATTCAAGAGACACGGCACACAGGGACTGGGAAAAAATGATCACTTTATCGAGAGATTCAAATTTACGAGTTTCAATTATCGAAATCTACTTATCGAGTTTTTTTTTTAAGGGCCCGGGAAAAAATGTTCACTAGATAAAACGATTATTTTGTAATGTAGAAAATTAGGAAATACAAAATTCAGGATGACACGGCACACAGGGACCGGGATAAAATGATCACTTTATCGAGAGATTCAAATTTACGTGTTCCCCGGGCGAAGCCGGGTACGTCCGCTAGTATTTAATATAACATTGCAAGCATACATTTTACTTGGTGACCTCTTATTTTCGTCTGTCTAGGAAACAACTAAATAGTCGAATTGTTTATAGATTTCATAAAACTTTAATATAGATATATATTATATACTAGACGAATGACCCGGCTTCGCCCGAGAATTCCCCCGAGTGCAATTTCCTTCATACTGAAAGTACATCAATAATAAATAGTAGAAGTACCGTAGAATAGCAATACAGAAGTAACACATAAAAAACAGGCAAAATTATTAAAATATATACGTATCAGAGTCATCAACAATCAATTATGTCATCGTTTGCTTTTGTGAATGGAATAAATACCCAAATATGGTCATTTCTTATAAGCCTCGGTGGTTCAGTGGTAGGATGCTCGCCTGCCGTCTGCCACGCGGGCGGCCCGGGTTCGATTCCCGGCCGATGCATTTTTTTTTTTACAATTTTCAGAACTCTCATTAATATTATTATAAAGTTATCTTGCCAAGTATAAATTCAGTAGGGTTTGGATGTTTTCTAGAATTGTTTTAACAAATGTTCGTTAGACAAACCTTTACTCGGGTAAAAACCGAGCGAAGCCGGGTACATCCGCTAGTTGTATTATATTAGTGTTTAGGTATTTGACTTAATTATTTTTTGCAATCCATTCAGTTGTTTCAAAATCAATATAGTTTAAATAGATGGAAGCTTTTCCACCCAACCCCCGAGGTACCCGCCCCAGCGCATTAACCCTTGAAATTGCCTGAGTTGAGTGAGTGACTGCGATGGATCTTGACTGTGATGCCCATCTTCTCAGTAAGAATAAGAAAAAATAGGTTTACGAAAAAAATTAATTTAAAATATACTGGCATGTAAATATTTCTCTGTAAAATATAAAAGAGCACATGGAAATTAGGCAAACATATTTGTTTTCTAATGACTGCATTTTAAACGATGTTTAAAGAGATAAAAAACACGAATAAATAAAAAATACGAAAGCCATTATTTACATACAGTAGACTAATTTTGTATTTTTTTAAAATTGCATTGTGTGCACTTACCGTAACTTAGTAATATAAATATCTCTCTCAATACTCAATACTTTTGTAAAAAAAGTAACACTCGTATAAAAAGATATTTCAAAAAAAGTGCGCAAGAAACTTGAAAAAAAAACGCAAAACGCTCATTGGTTGCCTAATTGGCCTGTTGTTGTTGTTGGAATAATCAATTTCAACATTCTACTCTTCTTTTATTTGTTTTTGACCAGTTGACCGCCATGTATATAAAATATTTCTATCATTGTCGTATTGGAGTATGTAAAGCAAGCTGCTTTAACTTTATGTAAAATTAGAGCATAACTTAATAAAACTTTCTATCTTTAAAGACAATTTCCCGGCATTCTCCTTCCTATTTTTTCAACAGGTTATGGGCCCAGAACTGATTGCCTAAGAAAATTAAGAATCAAGCATGTCCAGTCTATATCAAATTGAGAAGTTGAATAAGCAAAACTTTGAGACATGGAGGCTTCAAATGCAAATGATTCTTGTTCACTCTGATCTATGGATTTATGTTAATGAAGCCAATGTCAAACCTGAACCCGGTAACCAAGAGTTTACTAATTGGCAAAATAAGGATCAGAAGGCTCTTGCTACAATTGTATTGAGCTTGAATCCATCAGAACTAATACATGTTAAGAATTGCAAGACTGCCGAGGAGGCCTGGAAAAAGATAGAAGAAGTTTATCGACCAAAAGGACCTGCGACGAGAGTTTCCCTGACCAAAAGGCTAATACAGATGAAAATGAGACCTAATGATGATTTGAAAGATTACCTGAGTAAATTTACTTCATTAGTGGACAATCTAGGTGAAATTGGGGCTCAAGTACCCGAAGACTTTTTAGTTATACTCTTGCTGTGTAGTCTTCCAGAATCGTATGAAGGATTCAGGACTGCAATAGAAACCAGAGATGAGCTCCCAAAACTTGAAACTTTAAAGGTCAAGATTATAGAAGAAGATCAAAGACAACGTGAAATGGAGGGAACTTCGTCTGGAGAACAGAATGCATTTTTTGGAAATCCAGAAAGAAAAACTACCAATTCCACTAAACCACCAAATCGGAAGGATTTTAAATTTAACTGCCATTACTGTGGCAAGAAAGGCCACAAAGCGGCTGACTGCTGGTCAAAAAGGAACTCTAAAAGAAACAATACGCGAATGGCTGCTTCTCTAGGAATTAGAGATGAAAATATTCTTGATGTTGACGAGTGGTGCCTGGATAGCGGTGCAACTGCACACAAGTGCTGCTTAAGAACAGCATTTTCAAATTTAAGAGAAACAGAGCCAATACCCGTTAAATTAGCGAACGACCAAAGCATAGAAGCTTTAGGTACAGGAACGGTAGAATTGGAAGTTCTCGAACATGGTGAACCATTTTTATTAAAATTAGAAAATGTGTTGTTTGTCCCAGGACTGAAGGGAAATTTGATTTCGGTCAGCACCTGCACAGAAAAATCATTTTTTGTAAAATTTATGAGAGGAAAAGCGGAAATTGTGAATCCATTGTGGAAAATTTGCATAGAAGCTTACAAAAGAAACGGACTTTACATATTGCGTCAAACTAAATATGCAAAAACGCAATTTACCAGAATGTGTATAGACAAAAATAGCAGTGAAATTTGGCATAATAGGTTTGGTCATCTTAATTTTGATGACCTCAGGAAATTGCAGAGAGAAAATTTAGTTAATGGATTACCCAAGGGTGAATTTAAAAGTATAACAAGTTGTGAAACTTGTATTAGGGGTAAACAGACTCGATTACCATTCCCAGAAGTCTCTCTGACAAAGTCAACAGAGCCACTGCAACTTATTCATTCTGACATATGTGGACCGATGAGAACAAAGTCATATGGCGGTGCATTGTACTTCGCAACTTTCATTGACGATTTCTCACGAATGATATTCACTTTTGTTATGAAACGAAAAAGTGAAATTTTCAAAGGATTTAAAGTATTTAAAAGATTTGCTGAGAAACAAACTGGCAAGAAAATTAAAGCAATCAGAAGTGACAATGCCGCAGAGTATTTGAGTTCAGATTTTAAAGAATATTTATTGGAGGAAGGAATTATACATCAGCTCTCAGTTGAATATTCTCCGCAACAAAATGGAGTTGCTGAAAGAGCGAACAGAACTCTGGTAGAAATGACTAGATGTTTCATAATTCAAGCGAACCTCCCAGATCCACTTTGGGCTGAACTTGTGTATACATCTACATACATTAGAAACAGATGCCCAAGAACTAATGAAAGTCGAACTCCGTATGAAATATTTACAGGAAGAAAACCAACCGTTTCTCATTTAAGAATTATTGGATGTAAATGTTTCGCTGTTGACAACCGTCCGAGAAGAGGAAAATTCGCTCCTCGTAGTGAAGAATACCGACTGATTGGCTATTCTCCCGAATCAAAGGCGTACAGATTATGGAAGCCTGGAACAGGCATGATGATAAAAAGTCGAGATGTACGTTTCCTCGAATCTGAAAATTTTACCTTAAGGAATGACGTGGTGCAAATTGAAGCTATACCACAGAAAAAGGATGATACATCATTGGAGGAGGAAAGTCTTCAGGATGATGAAAACACTTTGCCCGGAACTGATTCGGATTTTTTAGGCGAACCATCAGAAACAATGGAAGTCATCTCGCACAGAGGAAGAGGAAGACCAAGGTATATTAGAACGGGAAAACCTGGCCGACCAAGAAAGGAATATCCTACGGCAAATTTATCCACGCAAGAATTTTCAGAAGTGAAGTACTCCCCAGATCCAAAAGACGCAGAGGAAGCGCTGTCTGGAAAAGATTCTTATTTTTGGAGGAAAGCAATGAAGGAGGAGTTTGATTTATTGATTGAAAACAAAACTTGGGAACTGGTTGATCCCCCTAAGGGCCAAAACGTAATTGGAAGCAAATGGGTATTCAGGAGAAAGTATAGTAGTGATGGTTCTCTTGAACGGTATAAGGCTCGACTTGTAGCAAAAGGTTATTCCCAAAAATACGGTATTGATTATGAGGAAACCTTTGCACCAGTTGTACGCCACAGTACGATCAGAACAGTTTTAGCCTTGGCCGTTGAATATGATTTGCTGGTCCATCAAATGGATGTTCAGTCTGCCTTCTTGAATGGTGATGTCAAAGAAGAAATTTACATGACACAACCAGAAAATTTCGAGTCAAAGAAATATCCAAGAAGGGTATGTAAACTAAAGAAGGCTATATATGGTCTGAAACAGGCTGGAATGACTTGGCATGCAAACCTCGATTCAGTATTAAAAGAAATGGGCCTAGAACAGATGAAAACTGATAACTGTGTCTACATCAAACATCATGAAGGCATTCTTCTGGTGGCAATCTATGTTGATGATTTGATAATTGCAGCTGAAAGAGAAGACACGTTGATATCCTTTAAAGAAAGTATGAAGAAGATATTCAAAATAAAAGATCTTGGAAAGATAAATTATTGTTTGGGTATAAGAATACAAACGAAAAAGGATGGCTCAATATCCATAGATCAAGAGAAATATATTGAAGAACTTCTGGCGAAATATAGAATGAAGGAGGCCAAGCCGATTTCTAAACCCATGGACTCGAACTCCAAGTTAACAAAGATCTCATCTATAGAGGGTGAGAATGAGCCAGTAAAAAAGGAAGAATACCAATCACTGATTGGATCGTTAATATATCTTTCAGTGTCGACAAGGCCTGATATAGCCTATGCGGTTAGTGCTTTGGGACAGTTCAGCAATGATCCTAGGAGACAGCACTGGAATGCGGCCAAGCGTGTCCTCCGCTATCTAAAGGGCACTTTATGTTTGAAAATAACTTACGAGAAAACTAATGAGACCCTTTATGGTTGTGTCGACGCTGATTGGGGTGGAAACCTCGCGGATAGAAAATCTCAAACGGGACTTGTTTTCTTCTTAGCAGGAGGTCCAATAGCTTGGGAATCGAAGAAGCAGCAGACTGTCGCTCTTTCGAGCACGGAATCAGAGTACATAGCACTTTGTGAAGCGGGAAAGGAGGCAGTCTATCTTAGAGCGCTGTTGGATGAGATGGGATTTGGTGAATTATTGAATGAACCTACGGTTTTAAAGACTGATAACCAGGGCGCTCAACAGCTGGCGAGAAATCCAGTCCATCATGCCAGAACTAAACACATTGACATCAAATGGCATTATATTAGAAGCATTTGCAGCGATGGTCTTATCGAGGTCGTTCACATACCAACCCAGGAAAATGTTGCCGACATCCTTACTAAAGGTCTGCCAAGAGTCTTGTATGATAAACATGTTGCTGGATTGGGAATGTAGAAATTGAGGGAGGGTGTTGGAATAATCAATTTCAACATTCTACTCTTCTTTTATTTGTTTTTGACCAGTTGACCGCCATGTATATGAA